AAGCATTTAAAGATCAAATTTTGACAAAATTTATCAAAATCTCGAAAATTATCAATCATTGTAATTAATAAATTATAAAATGTTCAGTTTTTATAGCTAAGGATTGTAAATTTTAAACAAAGGTTCTCATAAATAGTTCATACTGTAACCAAAAAATCTAAAAAATATATGAACACAGTTATTTTTTATAGACATTTTAAATTCAAATTTGGACGAAATTACATATTAAAAAACCTAGAATAACTATTATAGTTATTTTGTTGTGATTGAATAATATTATTCGTGGGTACTTGAAACTTCTAAAGTGTACTATTATATATCTATGATAGTATCACGGTTTTTGTTGATGTATAACGCGTTATAAGTACCTAATGGACATTGTGATATGATTAATTTGGAATTTATTATAGGTACCTATTATAGTTCAATTTTTTGTTTAATACCATAGATATGTATATAATATGTCTTATACATAGACTGACATACCGTCTCCGCTCAGAATCGTTTTTCTTATAGAATGATATTATATCGTTGAATTCAAATTTAATATCATCCATTATACAGTGACCCACTTGTAACCTACTGTACAGCAGAGCGACACCCACTTGCCCACCTTTTTTTTAGTTTTTTTTTCTATAAATATCAACAAAATTTTATTTGTTATTTAAAAAAGCTTGACAATTTAATAGAAGGCTCTTAGTAAGTTGTTTCAAAGGCAGATGAAAAAACTTAAAAATTCATAGTTACAATTTTTTTCATAAGCATTTAAAGTTCAAAAATTTACAAAATATGGAAAAATCACGAAAATTAGCAAATTATTTTGAGTTAGAAATTCTTAAAAAATTTTCTTGTTAAGTCTAAGGTTGTAAAATGTAATACAAGATTCCTCATAAGTTTGTCCACATTTATCAAAAAAAAATTTCCAGAAGAAAGTCAAATTATATTTTTATGAGGGTTTGAAATTCATATTTTTACAACATTTGATATTCACTCGATTTCTCATGTAACGATTTCCTTATTTTGTTGTAATTAAAAACTAATGGTTGTAGATACTTGAAAATTTCACTGAATGTTTATATTAGCATTTCCTATACAACATACAATTTTGAAAATATTTTGACTCTTTTTGAGCTGTTAACGGACATTTTCATTTTTCAATTTTTTTAGTTTTTTTTTCTATAAATATTAATAAAATTTTATTTGTTGGGTAAAAAAGCTTGAAAATTTAATGCAAAGCTCTCGGTATATTGTTACAATAGCAGTTGAAAAGTATTTAAAATACATAGGCACAGTTTTTTTTTTATAAGCATTTAAGCTATTTTAAAGTTCGAATTTCAACAAAATTTATCAAATTTAAAATTTAATATTTATTTTGTAGTTAAAAATTTATAAAATGTTCAACTTTTGTAGCTAAAGATTGAAAATTTAAAACAAGGTTCCACGTAAATAGGTTATATATAAATTACTTTATTCACAATAATAACATCATCAAATATACTTAGTAATATCATACGCTTTCTAACCGTCTTCGCTCAGAATCAATCGTTTTTCTTGTACAATAATATTCTATCATTGAATTCAAATTTAACACCATCCATTACAGTGACCCATTTGTAACCTACTGTACATCAGACCAACATCCACTTACCCAATTTTTTTACTTATAGAAAAAAATCTAAGAAATATTCATATCTCTATAAATAAGCTAAAAAGAGTCAAAATATTTTAAAAACTTCAATACAAACAATTGTTGAAAAATTCAAGGATTTACATTCTACGGTTATTCGTTTTAGAATTACAACAAAATAAGAAAATCGTTTAATAATGGAGAAATCATTATTTTACTCACGAATGTCCAATTTCGTAAAAATGTAAACTTCAGGAGCTCATACAAAATATATGTTTAAGTACTCTAAGTATAATTTTTATTTTTTATCAAGTAATACATTTTTAAAAGGAACCTTGTAGGTATTAGGTTAAATGTACCTACATTTTCAAATCTTGGTATGAATATTGATCATTTTTAACAGCACAATAATTTTCGGGATTTAGAATAATTTTGTACACATTTTTAGCTTTAAACGCTTATACAAAATATTGCGACTGTATTTTCGATATTTTTAAACTGGTATATAAAAAAAATTATGGGGAACCTTGTATTTTCAAGGTTTTTGACCGAAATCTTTTATCAACGTTTATAGAAAAATAACTAAACATTAAAAATGTCAAATATCATCTATAATATAAAGCTAAAAAAATGTCAAAATATTTTGAAAATGTTACAATAGGTATATACAAAGTTATAACTTATAATATAGGTACCTAAACATTTAGTGATAATTTTAAGTATCTTCAATTATTCGTTATTGAGTTAGGTAAACCAAAAGAAAAAGCATATAATAAATTCTATTAGGTATATCATGATTTTATTTTTGTTTTACTGATTATTTTGAAAAATTCTAGGAATTTTTTATTTTGATCTCTCGAGAGTACCTTCCTACCTTATAAGTTGTAGACCAGTAGTTTTCATACTGGGTGCTGAGCATTCACTGAGTGTGCCGCGGTCTTTCGGAAAGTCCGGCTATTCGTCCAAGAATAAAATATAAAAATAAAATCAATAATAATTTCTTAGCCAATCAAGCACACATTTCTAATTAAATGTACTTATATAATTATAATTCAAAACAATTTTGTTCAACCAACCATTTAGTGCAAAAAAAAAGTGTACCGTGAAATGTTTTCGAGGAGCAGGGTGTACCGTGTTTAATAAAAGTTTGAAAACCACTGTTATATACTAAAGTAGATACAATTTTCCATCAGAAAATATGATACCACTATACAAATTACAAATAATATAGTCTATAGAACTATAGAAGTAGGTATAATAAGTGTAGTATTGTTTAGTTATAGAACTATCAACTATTCAACTATAATAATATGTCTATATCGGTAAATGACATAGGTACTAATTATTAATTAATAATAATCATTTGTTTCATAAACATGCTCAGTTAAGATTAGTAGTTACCTAATCGTTTAATATTAATTTTATGAACGTTCAATATGTTTCAAAATAAAGTAAAGAGCATTTAAAGCTACTCAAAGGTCAAACCATAGAAAAATAATAAAACCTGACGTTTCATATTTTTTACGACCATGTCTACGGCTCATGGCTCCGCAGTTTGCCGAGTTCGAAACTGGAGTATATTGTTATCTTTTTTATATTTCTCTCAGTGATTGCATATTATAGCATATATTATACTATAATATTATAGTCACGGATACTAATCTACATTTTTTATGTTTATCTTTAATCGTGATTCGTGGCTGTATTAAAAAGTTGGAAGTTCAAAAGGTTCAAGTATTAAGATGTATAATTAAATCCACCTTGTACAATAATCACAGGGTGGTACTAACTACTAAGTATGGAAGTTAAGAATTAAGAAGTATGTGAAAATATTATACATAATAATATTATATTATTCTTACATTTTTTATCAGATTACGGATGTGCGTATTGCGTGGAACTCCCCCCAACTTTTGTTATCAATTTATCATCAGTTTCGGCTGGTGACAATGTATAATAATATTATGTGCAAACTCAAATAGAAAGTACGAAACTACGAAAGTAGTTACCCACTACTCACTTTTTACTACTTACTATACTTAATTGGCGTTTTCGTGAAAGAAATCTTTTCCCATTCCCAATTCCCATTGGCGAAATATAATAATGGATCATTCAATGCGGCAAACATCATAGTAAAATATTATCGCCATCAAAATAGGTGTTTTGCTAAACCATTGAATAAAATAAAAGTCGAACGCCGCTCTAAGTTTTACGTAACGAACATTTACAGATAAAGTTTAGGCACTTCCTCCAAATTAAAATCATTGTTCTGCTGACTAACAAACATCTGGTAAGTAATCAACTTACCTATTGGTTTAATGGTAATGAAGTTGTATCCAATTCAAAACAATTGTTGAAATTACTTTTTAATGTATACCAGGAAATACAATTCAAAGTAATTGGCTGTATTTTTATATTTAAATAAAAATGAGTTGTTATGTACAAAACTACTTCCATTTATTAAATAAATTAATGGTTGGCATATATATTATTATTCCTGGAGAATTATGTTAACATTTATGTTTTACTAACTTTTAATAGGTACTATTGAAAGATTTAACAAAGCTGCTGACACAAGAAAAGATAATTAAAAATCTACTCTTGACAAAAATGAATACCTAAATTAATATTAATATTTAAATAAATAATTAAATATGTATATGCAAAATGTAATTCCATTTATTTTTTGCTGTAGTATTCTATTATATTCCTTAACATTTATGTGATTATGATTATTTAAGCTGTACCTATGGTTGAAGAAATATTTTAAAATACTAAAAAAAAAGAAGGTAATATTGTGTACACCATAAGTTATGATGAATGATCTCTAAGAATTGTGCAAAAAGTCAATGATGTGGTTTTGCCATGATTGTTTGAGTTTGTACAACATTGTAATATTTTTTACTAAGGCTATATTATACTTATAATTTCAATGTAAATTTTTTTTAAATAATAATTTATATTATTTATTATAATAGTTATGTGGTAAGATATGCATATATATATATTATTATATACCTATAATCTACGTATAATATATAGGAGACAAATAGACAATCACTGTAGAGGTCATTGTGTGGCTATTGAATTAGATACCCATTGTTTAAATTATTGCGCATTACCTTGTATAGACAACTTATAGGTATTATATTTTAAACATTAATATTATTATAGATATTATTAATGGCCTTCATTCTATTTAGCTTTAAAAAGATGGTATCAATTTTACGAATATTGCTTTCAGTCTATTTTACTCAATCATAGCAGTATTATTATGAAAATTGTGAATTATTAAACTTGAAATTTAATATAAACTATTTTTAAATACAATTTTTGCTTTATTAGCACAATTTATATTTGTTTAGCTTATAAGATGGCTCAAGGACCAGCTTTAGTTTGTAGACTTTTGGCTTCGTCGGTATCTGTTGCTCATAAAGCAGGTAACATAATTCGCGATGTTATGCAAAAAGGAGATTTGGGAATAATTGAAAAGGTAAATATTATTATTTATTATATTTTATTAATCGTTGTAATGTTCAAGTTACCATATTTACTGAAAAAAAAAAATTTACATTAATTGTAACTATAATTGCTTAACTTATATATGTTTAGGGTGAAAATGACTTGCAAACTGAAGCTGATAGATCTGCACAACGGTGTATTGTTGCATCTTTTAAAAATCTGTATCCTAATGTGAATATTGTGGCGGAGGAAGTTGATAAAATTAGTCAAAATTTGGATGTTCCTGCAGATTGGCTAATTACTGATCTTGATCCTAAAATATTGGATTTGGAGTGTCCAAAATCACTACTTGATGTTACAGAAGATCAAGTTAGTGTAGTTAACTGTTAAATATTTTATTTATATTAAGTAATTCAAAAATACATTATTATAGAACTAAAATTAAATACATTTTGAATGCTAGTAATTTTCCTTGAAATATCAGTAGACTTTTAAAAATACTCTAAAATATTGGTAAATTTTTAATAAATGTCAATCAAGAGTACTTCAGTACAATCATTGCCAGATAAATTGAGATGGAAGTGGTAGCGCTTTTTAGTAAGTGTAGCCCAAACTAGTCGCTGGCAGTGTGGTGTAAAGGTCACACAGTTGGCTACGATGTGCGCAGGCACCAGTTCGAACCCGGCTAAGTGCAAAAAATTGTATTCATTATTATTATTATTATATTATTTTACAATTCTACTTTTTGTTCTTAAATAAAAGATTACTATCAGAATATTTAATTTTAAATTAATATCGTAAAATAATTTTTGTGATAATTGTTGGTATATTGATGTATTTTCGGTAATAATATTCAAATACGGAGAATCACTGATTTTCCATTATCGCGGAGTCGCCGCCGTCTCAATTTATCTGGCAACGACTGAATTTGCATAACAATTTTACTGTTCTATACTTAATTAAATAATTCCCTCCATCCACCTCTAATAGTATTTGATACAATTTCCTCAAATTTTATTATTGATAATATAAACAAATCCTATATTTTAAATTGTTATGTTTAGGTAACAATTTGGGTAGACCCATTAGATGGAACATCAGAATTTACAAAAGGTAAGTCATTGTATATTACATTTTTTTTCATCAATTGGCATTGCCTTATAAACATTTATATTTACCGTTCTATTTTATAGGTTTAATAGATCATGTTACAATATTAATTGGAGTATGTGTCAATGATGAAGCTGTGGCTGGAGTAATTTATCAACCTTTTTGGCAAAACCGTGGTCGAGCTCTTTGGGGTCTGGTTGGCAGTGGTGTAGGTGGGTTTGAGTTAAAAGAACCCCCTCAAACAAAGAAAGTGTATGTAACCACTAGGAGTCACTATGATAAAGCAATAGAACAATTTATTGATGGCTTAAAACCTTGCGAAGTTATACGAGTTGGTGGTGCTGGAAATAAGGTATAACGCTGCAACTTATTGATTATTATTAGTTTTAATAATGAAATATGAATTAATTTTGAAAACATATTATGTAGGTACTTTATATATTAGAAGGAAAAGCACATGCTTATGTTTATCCTAGTGCTGGTTGCAAACGATGGGATACAGCAGCACCAGAGGCAGTACTAAGAGCAGCTGGTGGTGAATTGACAGATGTACATGGAAATAAGTACAGCTATAGCAAGGAAAACGAAAAAGACCCTTTAAATAAATATGGAGTATTTGCTACGGCTCCTTCTTATAACCATACTGAATTCATGAAACTTATTAGTGAAATTCAGTCACAAAATGTAAAAAATGATTAGTTTTGTATTCAACAGTGACAAGAGTATGTGCAATGAGTTATGTGTTCAAAATTGTGGTTGAGTAAATTGTTAATAAACAAATAAGTAATTATTCAATTTAATGTAATCATCTAAAATATAACTCAAACACAAATATTTTTGATTTAAAATAAACTGGACAACATACATTCCCCACAAATAGCTGTTACAGGTATATCACTACATTACAATTCTTTTTATAAAGTAAATAAGTTTAATCTTGAAATTCTAATTTGAACACTTTGGTTCTCAAACACATGCACTCTTGCCACAATTGTAATATTTCATAGCTTTTTTTTTAAACTAGATATATGTATTTCATTTGTTGTATTAAATATTATATATCATTTTTATAAACTTTAAATTAAGTATTTAGTACCAGTACAAAATATGGAAGTCTTTCTATTAATATTATTTTGTTTTTATTTATTCAAGTGTTTTCAAACTGGTAGATTTTAAAAATTTTGTAAATTAAGTTAAAATTCAGTATCTAAAATATAATAAGATTTTATAAACTCAAAGGGTTGAAATATTGAAACAAGACGGGCTCATGAGTTCCTAGTATCAAATATTTTATTTCATGCCATTTCTTATATTTTTTTTTTTTTTTGTTCGGTATAAAGATTTACAGCAATAGCAATAATTGTAAGCTTTTTTGATAACTAAGGTCATTGTTCCAGGGTTCCAAAGTCATCTTCAGATATAAATAAAAGCCTTTGATTGCATAAATCACAACTATAGTGATTATAATTAATAATTAAATAAGCTTTGTCGCATTGGTTTAAAAGACAAAATGTATGGTTTTAATTATTATTTTCTACTTAATTGGTAGAACACAATAAGTTAAAATAGATAATATCTTAATCTGTCTTCCACTAAAAATTACATGTGTTGTTTTCCTCGAGGACAAGGGTACTGCAATTGGATCTTTTCATTATACCTATTGGCTATTTATATAATATTATAAATTATAATTTGTCTGTTAAATCTTAATATTAGTGTCATTCCATAATGTTGATTAATATTTAATACTGAAATTATTTGTTACCCTTACAATTAATGATATTTACTGAATGATCAATCTGGCTATTTCATATAAATATAATATTATACTTTATACAAATGACAACACTGTTAGGTTTGACAACAATAAGAACATATTATTACCATTAAACTTAAATAAATCTAAATATATTTAATTCAATATTAACTATTTATGAATTAATTTAGATTTTAAAATGTGTCCATTTTTTTAAAAGTCAAAGTAATTGTAAATTGTTATAATTATATTATTTTAGAAAATGCTATCTAGATTAATTATCTAATCCTCACCTATTGGATCCTAGGCAAAATTTGGTAGTGTCACGGAAGGCAGATGCCTCTATCCACCCACAAAAAAATATTGTGAGGCAAAATTAGAGTTTTAATGGCTCAGAAAATTGTGATTACATTTTGACCCTCCAACAATTAAGAGCCAATGCCTTTGATTGTAAATTTAAATTGAACTATCATACACCTAACTAACCAAATAGTTCTGAATTGTTTTATGTTTTTAATGTTACTGCCATATTGATTATTGGAAAATTGCATTTATTTTTTATGATAGTTATGCTTATAAATAATAAGTATTTTACAGTTTTAATTATTAAAATTATCAAGTATTGAATTTGTATTATAAAAAAGTATTAGAGGGGTTAAATAAATTAAGAAATATTATTTTTCTTATATTTCAAGCTAAATATTAATGCACGTGTTCCTATTTAATAAACGTTTTAGCCTAAATTCACAAGATTAATATTTAGTATTTCCTAAAGGTAATTGCACTTAAGGTGTACGGTACAACTTAAACCTCAAAATGTTTGATTTTTTTCTGATTCGTTTATTCTTTAATGTTTAATTTAGCTGATCCCAAACATTTTAGTCAGCAGATCCCTCTTTTAAACCAAATTCAGCTATGGTGTCTTGTAAAATACTTAGTAAAAGTATTCCAAATTCCAATACTTCTTAAGTGCTCAAATGCTTATTTTTTATTAGCTTATATATTTTAATTTTAATTTTATACATGTAATATATAAAAAAAAAAAATGATAATATAATATAATAACACATTTTTTTTACTGTGAATTATACTCAACTTAAAATTCAAATACTTTGACAAAGTAAACAGTTGAGTATTAATAAATAGTTACAACAATTGATACGGTGTAAAATGAATATAAAACTTGAAAATTGGTTTCAATTCATAAAGTAAAAAAAATATTTTATAAACAATTTGAAAGTATTTAAAAGCATCTATAAATACTTATTTTTTAAAGTATTGGCGGTTTTACTCAAATACTTCTTTACTGGGTAGGTATTCAAATACCCATTTCAAATACTTTTCAAAATAATATTATCTGTACCTGTACTAGAATACTTTTAAAAAGTACCTTTTATAAGGCTGCCGAGGAACATGAATAAAAAACAAACACTAATACAGTAATAGTCATTAATAACCAATTTATAAATTAAAACAATTTAAAGTATATCTGGTTATTTGTTTTTGAATTAATATAAAATAACAATATTAGTTTTGCCAGAAATTGGTGTTGAGTAAATATTCTTGTTTTTCCATGTTTTTAACTTTTCTCATAGTGGTAAAATTAATAATACAATTTGTTAATTTCTATAAGTGACAACAGTTTGCAAATAACTTAGTCAAAAGAATATTTTATTTCTAAAACTTAATTATTATGTAGTTAATGATATTTTTGAAACTTCGGGCTTAGAAAATTAGGTAAATAATTATTATATTTATGTATAACCACTTTAACCTATTTATATTTGTTATAAACTGCTGTCTGCTGGTCTCCACCAATCAGAAAATGCTGTCAAACAAATTAAGAACTTAATACTTTGATATATTAAGACTTAAACAAAATTATATTTAATTATCATTAATTAATTATGTTTATTCTATCAAGTTCATCAAACTTACATGAGAAAATACAATTACCAATATAAATTTATAATATATATCGTCGTCGTCATGTGTTAAGTGATCAAGGGAAAATTATTATAATTTCATTTTAAAATTTGTTTAGTTCATAATTATTTAATTTTTTAATTTCATAATTTTGAGCATGATTACCTATATCAAAATATAGATGCTAAAATGCAAAAAAAAAACAAAAATTAAGATGTAACCTATATTGACTTGAAAATAAAATTAAAAACATGTTCACTTGATCACTTCTTGAGTGACGACAACGATTTATAAAACGGCTACAAGTAGTTTTCCAAACATAAAGGAGCATTATTCTAATACAAAATTGTATGATAAAAAATTATTAGGTAATTTAATATAGGCTAAAGAATGACTATTGAATATCAAAAATATAAAAACTAATAATTTATTACCAATAAAAACATACCGTTTAATAGTATTAAGTGGACAACAAACCCGCATGTAGTAGTGTCTCTTTCTTACATGGCAAATTGTATTATAATATAATTTCTTAAAACTAGAGTGAAATAATTTCTTATAAAAGTAAAAAGGTAAGATTATTATATAGGGCATCTTACAGGCTTTAAATTATATTTTAATTTTAAAGCTATGAGTTATAAATATTTTAAGAAGTACAAACATTTATAATTTTAAAATATCCATAAGTTGCTTCAAAATTAAAATATAATAAAAATCCTATGAGATACTAATAGATAATAATCGTACTTGTATATGCCATTTCACTTTAATATTAGAAATTATAGAGTAAGATGTACTATCGTGGCCGTAAAATTTGCCATGTTGTACGCTTGTAAGACAGAGACAACACATGCGGGTTCAGCGTCCTGTTAATAAAAACAATAATATTATAATATGTAATAATAAACAAAATAATAATATAATAATACCTAATAAATAAAATAATAATATAATAATACCTAATGAATAAAAATACTAATATATCAAAAAGAACACATAGTACCTATATTGTAATATATAAAATATGTATCACAGTTTGCTTTATGTGACTGAAGATGGGTTTTCTGTTTCATTTTTGTCTTTGCAACCAATACGTTTTAGCACATAATCTACCTGTTAATATAAATATTTTTTTTGATAAAACAAATAAAAAAATTATTATTTTTAAAATTATTTATTTACATCGACAAAAACATAACTGAAACTTGGATTGAATGCAACAAAACGATTGAAAACAGACATCGAACTAGCAGGACTGATGGCGTGAAGATGCATATGTCCTATTGAATAAAATGGAGGCCAATGAAAACCCATTCTAATAAAACAACAAAGCATAAAATATGAATAGATTATAATTAATGTAACATATGATTTTAAATACCTTGTGTCATTCAAATCACAACCATTGTTTAATAATATTTGTTTCGCAGCTGCAACCATGCTCTTGACTATTGTGAATACACAAAAATATTATGTAAATTAAACAAAGTAGGTAATTAATATAGATTAATATTTTTCTACTTACGTAAATTACAATCCTGTTCATTAGGCTGTAAACTTTTAGCATTTTTTATATGTTTGTCACACAACACTAAGAAATGGTGAGTAGCCACTGGCTTAATATCTTTAATGATTACAAATTGATCGCTCTGTAACATTTTTCATTCCATAAAAAATGTAATTTAATAAGTATTCATCAAAAGTTTTTGGATTGTAATCTAGTGAATGTTAAACAGACATAATATTATGAGACCTGACTGCCTGATCAACTCATAGTTTTTGAAAAATGGCAAGTTAGTAGTTTAGTACATTAGTAATCAAATAAATTTACTTTAGTATATCTACTCTAATCCAATCCATCACTGGTCAGTGATCATCAATTATTGCAAGTTAGTATTATCTTATATACTTATTTATATTTATTGCTATTTATCTAATTTAGGATAGGCAACATGTACAATAATAGGTAGGTACCTATAATATAATTTCATGAAAACATAAAAATAAATAAAAACAATTCTTACTCGAGGCTCAAGAATAATATTTGGATCATTGGCAACAATTAAGTCACAAAATATACAATTTTTTACTCGGGTGTTGGTTGTTTCCGCGATATTCGTATTAATTGGCGATTCTTCTGTCATAATTAATAATTCTACACAAATGCACGATCGTCAAAAGGGAAGAAAAACAATTTTGAAACGTTTTGTTTTGTTTGATAATTGAGTATTTGAGTTGCTATTATATTATTAATTATTATACGTAGTGTATTGCTACGCCTACTATAGTGTAATACTACTTATACTGTTATCGTATTAAACTGCTTTAATAAGATCATTGAAAAAATGATAATGATAAGAGTTATAACCACGGACGTATATTACATACAACGTGATTGTCGCGAGGGGAGGATAATATTATGGAAAATTAAACTTTTGGTGACCCACTTTATTCAATAATAATTAAAAATAATAACATAATATGGTGAAACGCCAATTTTCTTTTAAAAATTTGAAATACCTATAAAATATTATTTTCTTTTATGAATGCTAAGTACTTGAATAACCTCATCTGTAGGTATACCTAGACACCTAGTTATTTATTTTCAGATTATCGGCGGCATAAATGCTTAATAACAAGGCCAACCCATTTATTAATAAATACTAATATTAATATTATTAATATTTATTAATAATTTGTTACTATTTATAGACTAAAATTTAACAAATTAATAAAATAATGTATTAATGTAATAATGTATTACCTTTATGTTATTATATTGTTTTAAGAAGGCAGGTCGCAGGTACCTACCACCTCATTAATTATTGGCCCATACAACATTTATACAAATTTGTATAAATTCAAATCTGCTAATTTGTTTTGATTGAACGTCTGTCAATTATATTTTCAAAATTGTTCTCTTTTAAATTAAGTCCTCCTAATGACGTGATCGTGCAATTATCATAGGCGCAAATTCAATTGCACAAATACCTATAGATGCACGTTTTATGCCTGTCTAATGTAGTGATATTAAGTCTCTGAACTTGAGAAACAATTCGAAATTTCGGATGCACCATGCACCTATAAGAAAAACCCAAGAAGTAATTGGGTACCTCTTACCATAGGCGCAATTTCAACTTTTGATTTAGGGGGGGGGCTGAATATATTAAAGGCAAGCAGACCATTGCAATATAGTATTTTAAAATTGTATGTCCTAGGTTTTTAAGGCTAAGTTTGGGGGGCTAAGCCCCCCTTTAATTTGCGCCTATGCCTCTTACCCTTTTTTCCTATTTATATTTAAGACACAATTGTACCTCAAATTGTACACAAATGTACCTCGTAAACCGTCTTTATAGATTTTCAAATCAGATTAATGATTTGACATTTCTAAGAATACCTATACCTGCTTTAATGCTTTATTATTATACCTACATACAAAACATTATTTGTATAATTTTTATAGAAAAAATAGTACCACTCCTCCCCGATCAATCCGTTTTAGGCCTTAACACACTATTTTTTTCGTTATTAGAATACCACTCATAATATGGTCAGCACCTAGCCCAGATTAAGGATAAATTGGGCCCCGGAATACACTTAGTGGGCCCTTTCAACTTTAACTTCATAAAAATTGTGTCACTAAAATGTTCTGACTGTATATAATTGTATAATTTTGTACTATATTACCTCGTACAATTATAAATAATGAAGATTATCATGTACAAGTACCTACAAGTTAGTTGGTAGTTCACAAGTAACAACCACGATTAAATATATAGATATTAAAGTATATTTTTAAAGTGGTCTTAAACTCTTAACTCCCATTTTATAATCTTCATCATATTGTTATCATTTATAAGAATATACATTTTATATTTATTATAATTTAGTAGGTAATTTTTCGTGGTATAAAATTTAGAACATTTTTTATTTTTTAATTACTACCTACTAAAATTATTTCATTTTTTTAAAACGGTTTTGAACACATTAAAAAAATAAACATTTCTGGAATAAATTTGGGCCCCGGGACTGTGCTTATTCCGATCTTGGTCAGCACTCTACAAAATACATTTGTAAGGAAAAAACTAACTCAACAATGTAAATCGAAATGAGTAGCCAGTCATTATTTAAAAATAAATTTCGTCAGTGAAATAATCTATGATATATAATTTAAATATGTTAGGAAAGTAGGAAACCCGAGCATTGTTATACTGTGTACAATGCCCGAACATTTTGAGCAATGTAATAATGGCCATTTTAATACTCAATTTTTTCATACATGTTAAGTGTAGGTATGCCGCCCGGATTCAAGTGGGCAAAGTGAATTAATTACTGCACACATATATGTTGTAATTTGTGAGTAATTTCAACGACAAAGTGATCACAATATACATAGTATATTGCGCTTTTGCACGAAAACTATAGTTGCAAACAGTATAGTTAGGTAATCTAGATAATATTTCATAAGGTACCTATCTAATCATAAAACCCCTGCCTAAGTCGAATGATTATATTGTCACGACGTCGCGTAGTCCGTCATTACTCATTACTACTGAATTATTATGTAAAACAAATCGGTGTAAATGCAAAAAATTTGGTCGACTTGGTAACTCAAATTGCCTTAATAGTTGTGTACTTGTGTATGTGTTTATAAAAAAACTAATATAATGCTTTATTGCTATCTTACGTGCCTAAGATTACTTTTTAGTAATAATTAATTAAATTAAAACTATTGAAATAATTATAATTTAATAATAAATAATATTAATCTTGTTCATGTCAAACCACTTTTAGATAAAAATATGAATTCTTCAGTAGGACTGAAGGAGGTACTATACTGGATAATAGATTTAAAAACTATTAAAATTCAATTAATATTTGAAGCGTCTAATTCAAGTTTTTTATGATTACTAAAAAATGCAGTAAAATGTTTTATTTGATATTTAATAAATTCAATATTTAACCTAAGCAGTGCCCAAATCTAAATTCCAGGACAATGTTAATTTATTCCAATTTTACACTCAAAAAACGGGCACCCCTCTATTTAAAAAAAATCTTAGAGGCAATTGCCTTTGAAATTACCGTTCACAACGCCACTGCTACCTATTAAGTATTATATACTGTAAGAACTACTTATTTCTTATGAGGAATATTGTATATAATTTATAAACAATAAACCTTGGTATTAGGTACAATTGAAAATTATTTTAATTTTTAGCAAAATAATTGAATATTTTTAAAGTCCTTTGCTTTGCTGAACGGTAGGTCACAAGTGGGTCACTGTAATGGATGGTATTACATTTGAATTCAATGATATAATATTATTGTGTAAGAAAAACGATTCTGAGCGAAGACGGTCAGTCAGTCTATGATATTATTGTGAATAAAGTAATAAAAATCACACATCATTGTAAAATCAATACATTAATCGCTCCGCTCAGAATCTAAGAAAGATTGTCCGTATATTATATTTTCGATATTTTTAAATTGATATAAAATATACAACTTATGAGGAATTCGTATTAAATTTTCAAGCATTTTTAATGAGTAACAAAATTAATTTATTAATATTTACAGGAGAAAAAAATTAGAAAATGTCCTATAAATAGTTTAAAATATTATCTATAAATATCAATGAATAAAACTCATCAATATTGAACCAATAATACATTAATCACTCAGCTCAGAATTCAAAGGTTCAAGGGCCAAGGGAATATTATACCCGCCCCCCCTAAAAAAAAAAAAAATAAATACTTTCTGTAACAACTGGACAATAGTATATTATATAAAATATATTACCTGTATTTAATATGTATCATTATTATTACTCGATGTTACAATCATAACAATTTTTTAGGTCATTCCAATTAGCAGCTTATCGTGAATATGATACAATTCATGATTTATCTCTGAAAATTAGAGCACCTAATCTGTATAATAAGTGTTGCCCGTAAATGTTTTTTATTGAAATTAAATCAAAGCCAACATGAGTACATGACGTAATATCATAGAAATTCGTTCGTTTAATCAATAATCCGGTATACATTTTCCCTTTACTAGAATACTGGAATAAAATATAGAAATTTGTTTGTGATACTTGCAGTGTTTTCCCCTCTTTATATTATACTCTTCCCCTATTTCATATATTTCATATATAATATAATGATATGTGGACTATTGTCTGTAGAGGGAATATTGATATCTTGTAACTACAAGTTTTTTTTTGATATTTTACATTGTTTTTGTAACAAGTTAAAATATTTCTTAATATACCGGTGTCCTATAGAATATATAGACTATAGAATATAGACCGAGTACCGGAATACCGATATACACTAAAAAGATTCCGGTATATTATTATTTGCGAGTACCTATACCATATTAAATGAACAAATTTCTAGACCCATAATAGGTATATTGTAGAATTAATGTAGAGCAACATATTGTAGAATAGTGGTACCCAGTGATTGGTAATCACTATGGGGCCTATTTTATACTTAACATTTGATGAACCCTATACTAAAATTAAATTGTAGGTACATACTAAATGTGAAAAAAATTGAATTTATATTTTTTATTGTGGTAATGTGGTTCCATTACATGCAATATATTTTGCAAGACACAGAAAGGCTCCGTCCATCATCAACATTAAAATAACATCAAATCAATAAGTCAAATAACAAATAAATACAATTTATTATACAATAACAATGTTTCTTATATTATGCTAATAAATTTAATGATTTGTATAAATTGTTTTTAAAATTGCATAATTTATTTTAAACGGGTAAATATTATAATGTATTAAAATAATTAATTTGTATCACGTAGGCAATATAGGCATAAGTAATGCTGAAGCCTGAATTAATTAATATAAATGGTATAATATTATGTAAAATATATAGAAATGTCATACAACGAATTTATAATAATAAAATTACCTATGGTAGGTACCACCTAATAAGTACTTATCATACCACCTAATAAGTACTTATGATTTATTTAATAATTTATAATATTTAATATCTAATATAAACTAATTCAAAATAATAATTTCCAAGAATTTGTTAGGCAGGTTGGTACGCATACTTCATACAATAAACCAACTACTAGCACTTCTAAAGTTTGTGATTTTTAATTTATA